ACAATTTTCAATGCTTTAAATTAAATCAGCAAAGTGGGTAAGGAAATAATCATTGCTCTTGTTTTCTTTCCGAATATAAGTCCGTATAGAAAGAGAAGGCACTTATATTTCTGAACCTTGGAACGTTTATTCCAGTTTTCTGGGGTTAACAGAGAAGAATATAATAAATTACATTAAAAAGACTTACACACTTTAGAGGACCCTTGAACTGTTTAGAAAATGATATAATCCTCCAAAACTTTATATAAATCTAATTAATTTTAGCAATTTGTTCAGCTCTTATATTTCGAGTTTACAGTTATTTTTAAAGCTTATGCCATGTTTGACATATAGTACATCAATGACCGGTGTTGACTTACAAGAGTAGTATTGCATTCAAAATAGTTATTAATTATATGAAACTCCTCCTCCTAGCACTTAATTTTGTTAACGGAAATAAAATTATCGTTTATAAGCAATAAACTTTCGAGCTAACGCATCTCTTGACAGCGACGGCAATCACGTAAAAGCTCTGCATACATATGTACATACAAAAGTAATAAAAAATTTATTGCTAATTAAATATTTTGTACGCCACAAAATCTTTTATCATATTAGCGCATATAATTCTACGAAAAAACCGTACAGTACTACAGTACGTACAACAAAAACATTTAATAAATATTATCAGCTTCACTGACTTAATTGTAATGATTTGTTTTAATAACATTTTTTTTATGTTTTAATTTTTCATCTTTTTTTAATGAATTTTTTTTTACGAATTCCTTGCGGACGTAACCGCTCATTAACCGAACAAGTGCAGTGATGTGTCGCTCAACAAGCTCTTAGCAACGCCAATTAATCACTTTTCGCAACTAAACTCTCATTACATTTACTTTATTGTATATGTATGTGCCATTACATAACTATTAATTTGTGCGCTTTTTAAAAATGTTTATTTTTTTCAAATGGTTTCACTTTTAAATAACTTTCCACCTATCAATTTTACTCGAACTTTTTTCCGAGGCACTTTTTGCAGTTAATATGTCAATAAATGTTCCGATAAAAAACATATTTATATTTATGTGCGTGCTTAAGTAGCGTAATTAATTAAATATATTGAATTTATGCGCTTATATAAATAGTTGATATGTATATATATGCAAGTTATGCATAATAGTTAGTGTGCTAGTGTGCATTTAAAAAGCAGCAAAGCAAATATTTTTCAACCGTAAAACTACTTTACAGTTATAAATTTAAATGAAAAAGGCGAAAGTTATGGCGCAGCGCAGACATTTTTTTTAACAATTTTTAATTAAAAAATTTATGGCGACTATCACTATTCGGTCAGTAGTGGCGCCACTTGCATTAAGCATACACACAGGCGCGGAGGCATACAAAAAACAAAATGCAAGTTGTTGAGTAATCCTATTTGACAAGGCTTTGGTCATGCCTTCGCATTTAATTCGCTTAATTTTTATACCAATTTTGCAGCGCGTTTTTTCGAGGTCCTGCAAAAAAACAGAGAAATTATGTGCTTATTGCTCTATATATAATATGAAGTATACATATATATTTATACTATGTATTAAGTATTGTCCAGTAGAAAATTAATCCACGAAAATATGTAAATAATGAGAGAAAGAGTTGTGATTTTGGTGACTGCGTCAATTGGCTAAACGGAAGAGGTTTTTGAATTTTGCATATTGAAGCTCCTAATTGTAGGCAACATATTTATTATTTAGCTTTCTATTGAATGCTTTTAAATCAAAGTTTATAGTAATATCGCAATATCAATTCGATCTTTTTTTGTCATTTGAAATATTTTCATAAAGTGAAGCGTCGTTTCTATTGTATATTTGTTTAAATTTATGGAATCCAATTTTTCGAATATATACAAACTCATTGCGAAATAAGACGCAGATCTCTATAAATCTTTAATTCAAAGTGTAAACGTTAGATTATTTTGAAAAAAATAAGTTTTGTTGTGTTTCATTTTAATGGGAATATTGATAAATTATTATAATATAAGAAATGAACTGTGTGGTCCTGAAAATGCATTTAAAAAGTTTCAGCTTCCTCTTTGATTATTTAATATTATATAATGCAGCTTGGGATCAAGTTTTCACGATGTTGTGTTTTTATTATTTTTCTAACATCACACACATACCTACAAGGCAAATAATTAAAATCTTCATGTAACAAAACAATCTTTGTTATTTTCAAAAGCCACAAATTTTCCTACCGGTTAGCTTTTATTGCATTACAATGCCAGTTTCCATATTAAATGGTTTTCAGCTATTTAATTCTGATAATATATTTACGGCACCGTTGCTGCGGTTATCGGTAAAGTTGCACCGTTAGAAAATAATGAATTACAAAGGCGAGCAAATAAATAAACGTAATTAAAACTAAATCATAAATCACAAAATTAATAACCTAAATTAGATATAGTATTTTTTTCATATAAATATTTTCGAAAATTTTAAAAGTTTTATGGTAAAACATTTCAAAATACGACGTGAATTTATTTTCAAATCATCACCAAAAATCGTTGATACTAAATTGCCACTTGAGTGTCATTTTTAAACAGTGTTTTATTATATAATTGTTTAAGTTGGAGTTTCAAGTTAATTATGAAAATAAATATAAAAAAGCCAGGTTCGGTTCAATTTTTTCAAACTCTCTAAGTATAACTTTTGCTTTTCACTTTTGTTATTCATTTATATCACTTAAGGTATTTCTTGATAACACCATTTTTTGGGCGAGGCAGATGTCCATGTCCATCCATTTGCAATTCAAACCTTTTGAGTATTCAAAACCAAGGAACACGTAAACTAATTTTGTCAAAATATCTCAAGTTATTTCTTGCACTGACGGACCATATATAGGCGGAAATATTATATATTCCTGTCATCACTCGATTTTTTAAGTTGCTACAAACGCAAATATTACACCTATACAGCGTTCATATATATAAGTATATATAATATATAAATATGGGTGTAAAAATTCAAAAATAATTCTACCGAACATAACTTATTCATACACGTACTATATGTGGATACAAATGTAATGCCTTTACATAAATACAACAACCATATAAATCCAAATGCATACATAAATGGTCAACTGAGAACAAAAACAAAACGTGGAGGTAAATAATATACAGTTACATAAATCGAAAAATACAGAAAATGACATTACTTGAATTTTAATTGAATAAAATTAAATTGAATAGCGCCATTGTAAGCGAAAGTAAGAAAGTGCTGAGCATTGATGTTGTTGTTATTATGGGATATGCTGGCGATTAAAAATTTTCTTTACCGTAAGTTAATTCGAATAATTTCCGATTACGCACACTCAAATGACCTGGTATGAGAGAGCTTAACATCTGATAAATGTTTTTTTTTATTTCAAGTAATAATTAAAATAAAATGACCGCTAAGGGTTATGAACTACCACAGAGCAGAGCCGGTCCGAAGCAACTTTACAATATTGAACATTAAATTTTTTTTGTTCTAAGAGCGGTCGCCACTTAACACACAATGACAAATTTAGGATTGCCATCATAAAAAATTGGCTCAAAAAGTTCGTCAACTATCTGGAGTATCTGTAGGTCTCCCCAGTTGCCAATGCCCGACAGTCATCGTCTCGGGTTAATTACATAAGAAGCTAACGCACATTGATCTATTGCCATGTAAACGATATCTAATAAACGCCATAGTCCTTTAATCATGCTTATAATTTATATATGGTTACTTCCGTAAAAAAATAAAAGCAATATATGTATATTTTTAGAACTACCAAAAAGATCAGATCCAGTGTAGATATTATAGAATAAATACACTTAATATTCAACATAAAAAAAATTTAAAAAAGATAATGTGCGCCCAACGTGGGGCTCGAACCCACGACCCTGAGATTAAGAGTCTCATGCTCTACCGACTGAGCTAGCCGGGCTATTATTTATTAATTGTCAAATCGAGTACTTTAAAAACCACTGAGCGAGGAACAGATTATTTATTTTTGTTGTGATCACTACTATTTATAGATCGCAGCGTGCTGCCATATCAACTAAAAACTTCCTTTTAAAATATTATATATAATATAAACAAGGGCATTACGAAATTTGAGCAATTACTAATTTACTTGCCAAATATAAATACTTATTTTTTAATATTACCCTTGACTACGTTACGGTTAAGACGCCTGTCTGTCAGTGCTTTTATTTAATAGGACTTTTAATACCCCGTCATTAAAAATTAAAAGTATAAAAACGCAGTTGTTTATATCCATACAAGATGTAAATTATTAAATCAACTTATAAAATACAATAACCACGCATTTATTAATAAAAGATCGTTCTATGGCTAGTATACATTCAGGATAGATCTTTGCTCTATTTATATCAATAATGATATTCAAAAGATACCGCTATCGTGACGTCACGAGTTTAATTATGAAAATAGCCAACATATAAAATTTGCAAATGGGCTGTAGATTTGTAAATTAAGCTGTAATAGCAACATAGAGATTGCGTTCTCTAATTCTTTAATTAATTACGTCACTGTTTATATTTTGTTGCTCCGTTCTTGGTCACATCTATCACAGACATATTCTCTTCCTCTGTCATTCCTGATTAGAGTTAATGTAATATTGCAAAAATTAATGTGTTAGCTTTTAGTGTAAAAATATTTAGGCAGCTTTTACAATGCTGAAATTTCTTTGAATTTTTTACTCCTCCTGCAAGTATATGTATAATAGAATATATTTTTTTTAAGTATAATAAACTGAAGTTTATAAGAATTTTATCATAACAGTTAGTAATTGTAATTTGTGTTTAATTTAAAGATACGACATTCTTTAAGTTCCACACTTCATGAAATGTTAAATAAAAACCTATTATTTAATTAATTTTTATTAATAATTTAATATTATTTAGATATTCACATAATAATATATAATACCACACTAATAAAAATATTTTTTTTTTCTTTACCATAAACATCATCTGGCAGCACAACATTTCTGAATTGCGTAAACAATAATCAGCTGTGCCTATTTCGTTTCCATCAAACACGAGCACTTGAATTCACCGGTATAAACGAAAAACAAATATTTTCATATTATTTGCTTTATAAATATAACCACGGATTTTTTGTAACACGAAAATGGTGCATTTGTTTAAATCTACTGCAAAGTATTTGTTAAAAAATGCACAACAACTGCCAGTTAGGCGAAGCATTTCCGCGCTGTACATAACCGGTGATAAGGCGCAAAAGAATTATGCACCACTTCAGCCGTATATGGATTTTGAGGGTACACTTAACAATCTGGGGACTTTGGAAAAAAGTATAAAAGCGCGTAAATTGCAGATAAATCTTGATGAATTAAAAGCAAAGTATGTGAAATTTCAAAGTATGAAAAATCAAATAAAGCAAACTGAGGCTGAACGTGAGTCAGTGTCGAAGACGCTAAAGGAGCTAAATAAAGTATGTGGAGAGCGGTATGAAAATGAGCTCAATTTCATATAGATTTATATTTATATATTTGCAAATTATTTCAGGTAGATACTGCCACAAAAGAAGAAATCGAAAAATTGAAGGAAAAAGGGGTGAGTTTGCGTAATGTCTTAAAATCACTTAAAACGGAGAACTATCCAATTGAAGAAGACTTTGTGCACTCATTTCTAAATTTGCCGAATCAATTGGATCCGCAATGTCCACAAGGCAATGTTGAAAAGTTGCTTTACCGCAGTTCAACGCCACGATGTGAAGAGCAGCGGCCCACGCATTTGGCCAATAAGGAGCTCATACGTTTTTACAATAATAATCGGTACTATCTGTTCGGCACACCAGCAGAATTCGATGTATACAGCATGCAAGCGTTGACAAATTATTATGTGAAAAAAGGTGGCTTCCTACAAATGGCTAACCCGGACTTTGCGCGTCTGGTGCTTTTAGAGGCGAGTGCAACACCGTTGGAAAAATATCACTTGGTGAAAGAGGAGGACCTACTCAGTGAGGTCAACCGAGCATACTTGACAGGTGGTGCAACATTTGAAGGATTCCTAGCAGCTTTTGCGCGTCTTCTTGTTTTGCCCAAAGCATTGCCAATTCCTATGGTGGCTCCTGGTAGAAGTTATGTTAAAGTAGCAAATAAAGAAGGACAAATTGATAACCTTTTTACTGCCACACAAACAAATGCTGTACAAACATTTGTCGCCACCAAAACTGCAGGCGAGGCAGAGGAGCAAATGCATAAGATCTTAAATTTAGCGGTAGACTTCTACAAAGAATTAGGTGTGCATTTTCAGATAATCTATGAGGACGCGAGTGTGCTAACTAATGCCGAATGCCTACGTGCAAGCATACAAATGTACTCACCGGCAGAACAACGCTATATATGCGTGGGAAATGTTAGCAACTATGGTGATTTTGTGTCGAAACGTATAATGTTTTGTATTCGTGAACAGAAAGGCTATGCTTTTCCACATTTAGTGAGCGGAAATGTGCTGCACGTAACGCGACTAATTGCATTGTTGTTGGAAAATGGTGTAAACCTTGAAGACTGTAAGCTACTCGGAGATCCAGATAGTGAAGTGAAAGCTGCGAATGCAGCTGTGAATGAATTTAAGGATTTATTTAAATAGAAAATGTTGCGCGATAATGAACTTAGTGTAATTTCTTTTGCTCAGAAGTTTCTTGTGTTTTTTGCGACATGGAAAAATGCATTGTTGCTGCTTGCCAATAAAATGGCGAAAAATTAAGCAATATATTAATATTATAAATTAAAGTATAATTGTTTATATATAGTCAGAATGCTATGCTGTTTTTAAAGTTAATAAAAATAGATGAACTGACTGCCATGATAAAAAGTTATTAACTTCTTAATTAAAAATAAATAAAAAAAGTGCGGAACTGAACTTCTTAAAATAAAAACAACTATAATTTCTAATCAAATATTAAGCAAATCTAACAAACTGCATGTCAAATTAATTACTTGCAATAGGCATTAAATTGGAAAATAAATATTTAAAAAAATTATAACAAAACAATATTAAATAATAAAAATAAAATTAAAAAAAGAATATTGTGAAAAAATATTTAAAAATGTAAAAAAAAAATTATAAAAAAAAACCTATTATTAAAAAAAATATCATTAAAAAAATATTATTATAACAGAAAATATTAAAAAAAAAAATATTAAAAGAAAAAATTATTTAAAAGAAAATGTATAATATTTTTTGTTGTTGTAGAAAAAATCCTGTAGTAATTTCGAGGAATGGTGCCGAGTTGACAGTCCTTGTGCGGATAAAAATCCGAGTCCATTCCGGTTACTTAGACCCGACTGTAGTGGGAACGGTAATTCGACTAAAATCCCGTATTGCGATACCAGGCGCGCAGAAATGCACAACAAGTGACAAACACCCCACCACAAAAAAAAGAAGTTTTTTAAGTTCTCTGGTTCATGCGCTCCTGGGTATTCCACAGTGACATTTGCAATGCATTTTTGTGAGCTGTAATGTCAGTGTTGTTAAAAGCTGCATACTTTTAGGCGCATACAATATACATATAGAGTGCAACAAGTGAATATTTTATGATGTTTATGTTATATATAATAAAAATTTTATATTTGTAATTAAATGTTGGGATATTTATTTGAAAATGCACTATTTTGTGGCGTCTAATTAATTTCTATTTAATGCTTATTTTAAATTGAATTTCGCTGTGCTTTAAAGTGAGTCAAATGCAGATTATATGAGAGATCTCTAGATTTCTATAATTTTTTTCGTCACGTGATCATATTAAGAAACATTTCTTAGCAGTATCAGCTATATGTTTCTAGTATATACGAAAGTTAACTAGCATACTTTCACTACAATAAAGTATGATTCTCTCGCGTAGCCTTCTATTTGTAAAAAAATATTTCCGAACTTCAGTCAATAGTCATCATAGCCATAGTAATCGTCTTCTACACCATCATTCAGCATATCCTTCAGCGAGGAATATTCACGTTCCGGTTCAGGCTCCACCTCGGCATCGCCTTCCGCATCTGCATCATCGACAAATTCATCCAAGTCATCTGTGTAAAAAATAACCGTTGTTAATACTATGTGAAAATTCAAGTAACATAATGACAATTACTTACCATTCTCGACAACCACCGGCTCCTGCTTCGTTGGTGTCGCAGCTTCCTCTGCCACGGGTAAACCCATCTCCAATTTAGGCACTTTGGCTGGTGGTCCACCAATTGTGTAAGCTGGTTTGGCGCGACTGAAAAATAAGAATTCACAATTTCATTAAATCCATTTCGAAGTTACATTATGAGTGCAGCACTCACCTATTCTTCTGCTTAATGGGCCCCGTTTCAATGATTGGCACATTTTTCACATCCAAAGTTTCGCTTGCTGCAGCGTCCGTGGCTGTTGTGCTGCTGGCACCAACTACGCTACCTTCCGTCAGCGTTCGCAAAATATCGTAATTGATTTTGCTTGAGATTTTCTTCTCCTGCAGCATTTTCTCGATAGCCTCCCCTGCGCTGGTTGAGGGACCGATCGGTTTACGACGTGGCCGTCTCTTTTTCTTCTCAGGCTTACCCTCTTCGCGCTCTTTGGCCAGACGCTCCTCCTTTTCGCGCATTTCTTTTAAATACTCGGCATTTAATGCATTCCACATGTTGTTTTTGTACTCCGCTTCTTCGTGCGTGAGTATGTAATTGTTGATTTCCTCATCGTCAAGTCCTTCCAGGTCTAAATCTTCCATGACATCATTATCTTTGGCCTTTTCCACTTCCAGCAGTTCACTCGGTGCTGGCCGGCACATAGACTCTATGTCCGGTTTAAGACCGCTTAGTACGATTTTCTCTGCTTTCTGTGGTCCCATAACATCGGGTGCGTCAGCGAGGCATTCTTTAATGGCCTCGAGATTGGATTCTTCGATGAAATTCGCCGATTCGACATCTTCGAAATTGGTGTCGGTTCCTACATCACCAAGTCCACCAGTCAAACGCTTGATTGTGTTCTTTTGTATACGCTTAAGATCCTTTTCGAGGTGTGTATCGATTTCCCTTTGCAATTTGGATAGCTCATGCTCGGCAATCTGTATTTGATTAATATGATGAAATCAATAATTCCGTTATATAAGTTTTATATATTAGATTATAGATGTACTTGCAAGCGAGTAAATTAAAAAGATAAATTAACTTAAAATTTAGGAAAATAAGAGTAAATAAAAAAAATGATATTCGCCCAACGTGGGGCTCGAACCCACGACCCTGAGATTAAGAGTCTCATGCTCTACCGACTGAGCTAGCCGGGCGCTTCCCATATAATTGTCAAATATATCACACCAATGCCAGTTAATGCTTTATAATTTATTTTTAAGTGACATGATCATTTTATAACGGGTACTACAAATACTCAAATACTAATAATGATGAAAGATAATTAATTGTAAAGAATTGCTACATATATAGAACTAAAGTTGCTAGTTTATACTTATTTTTATTTATAAATAAGATATATTACAAAATACCTTGACAAAATTACTCATAATTTTAATTGAAACTCACATCCTTGATGCGATCGCGATCTTTTTTCCGTGCCGCCTTAAAAGCTGGCGGATCTTGTTCCGCCTCTAAATCGACAGACATGAATTCATCCAAGGTAAGTGCGCTAGAGGGTGTGTCCGCGAATTCAATTAAGCGCTTGCGCACTGTAGATTCGTGTATTTTTACAATGCCTACTATATCGAGGATCGTGCGGCTAAACTCATGCATGCGTGCGGCGATCAGTAAAGCTACGATGAAACGAAATATTTTAGTGATTTTTGCAAGATGTTTATTTAGTGCTCTAATTAAATTAAATTCTTCAGTTTTCATATAAGGTGAGAAGATTCATAAGTTTTATTTTTTACTCATAGATTTTTTATTCATTCACTCTTTATTTTTAATTAGCGCTCGTTTTCATATGCCCTTTCGGAAGAATACTTCACACTTTATTCAATTATTAAAAAAATTGTTCTCGCCCGAGCAGGGACTTGAACCCTGGACCCTTGGATTAAAAGTCCAATGCTCTACCGACTGAGCTACCCGGGCATATGTAAACACAGCAAATTCTACTTCTTAAGAATGCGGTGTGATGAGTCATATTTAGTCATTTTTCTTGCCATTTCCATTTGCAATTCGACATTTATAGCGTTCAAAACTCGTGAACTATGAATATTTAGTATGAATGTGTGTCTAATTCATGAACTTTCGTGTATGCAGCTACATTTTCGGGTTAACGCAAAATTCACTCAGCATTTTAGAATGTAAAAATATGCTTGTGTCATAAATATTTTGGATTTCTATAGATAAGCACAGATATATATATGCATACATATACAGTGTTGTGCTATAAAATAGCATTTAACATTTTGGAATGTAAGAATATTTCAATGTCATAATTTTTCTGGATTCTAAATACATATACAGTGTTGTGCTATAAAATAGCATTAAAACGTATTTTTTTACAAAATAATTTTCTTTTTTTTCAATTTTATTATATGATATATACATTTTATAACCATTTGTTAAACTTTTACCGTTTCTTTGAACAAAAAAATTAAATATGTGCTGTAATTTTAGAAATATTTTCGGAATGAAATCCTTTTGAGGTAATCCATATATTTATTACTTTTTAAAAATAAGAAAAAAGGAAAATCGTAATACTTACAAAAAAAAGTTGTGAAAAACCTTGAAAATCCTTACATATTATTTTTATTTTGCATAGCGGCAACATTTTTTAACCAAAAGCACCGTTGATTATAACTTCACAATTTTGGATAAAGTAAAGAACGTTATAAACTTAGAAAAGCAAGGTTAAAATTTGTTCAATTTTTTTTTTCGAAAATTAGTGAATGTTGAAGATTTTATCAAATATTCAATATAATATTATAACATCAAAACGAAAAGGGTAACGAATTGAAAAATAAATTAGGCAACTCTGAGCAGGTTGTTATTGCAGATGAACCAAAGGAAACTGCTACGACCGAAAAATGCCGTAAATACAAAAAATATTAAATGGTATAACTAAGCTTTGTTACAAGACATCGCAATAGAGCCGGACGGTAAAATATTTTTGAAAAGTTGGTTTGGTTCTATCCTCTAATAGGACTGACCTAAATATTTCACCAGCACCTACAGCTATATCTTCATCTGTCAGTCTTAGTGATATATTTGTTAATATTATATATGAGATTATAAGAAATCCAAAGATAATATTTCGAAGTTTTATTTCCAAAAGCTGGAAAACAGGGGGGAAATAATTTGTTATCAATGCCGGCATTCCTATTTTTTTATTTATATATATTTATTAAAATAATTGTCTTGATTTTTTCTCGGTTTGAACGTATTAAGCCCCATAAGTATTAAAATGTTTACAATAAATTCCAAACTAGACAAATTTTATGGTATGCGTACCAAGGGATTGAGAAATTGATACTGCAGAATGCATATACATATGTATGTATACATGTTTATGTGTAAGTATACAATTATATAAATATATGCCTACAGTCCTATCAATACAATTAATGTTCCTCCGCAAAACAACCGGTAATGCAATCCAATTTAAACGCAACATGTTGCGCTATAAATAGACACGCGCTTCAAATATGTACATACACATATGCATATACTTTTAGGTTAAGTATGCATAAAATCGCATTCATAAACATACCTGCGCCACACAAACCGGTCGGTCGCCGACCCGAGTGCAACGAATCCTTCTTCATGCGTTGGACAATGCGCAAGGCGGTCATGGAGACCTCGTGAGTTTTGGCGCCGAACTGCAATTTATTGGCGAAGCGCATAATGTATAAGCAGGGATCTAGAAGAGAGAACAACAAAGAACGTGGTTAATTGAGGAAGTGAAAAATATAATTAAAATTTAAAATATATACAAATGAGCTGAGAATTAATTTTTTAAGTAAATATAAAGGCACTAAAGAAAACTACTACAAGTAGACGCTGCAAGAGAGCTACGTGATTTAAATTGGTGTAGATTATGTATTTATACTAGAAAAAATATACGCGCTAAATAATCAACTAATTTATGGTAATATATTATTAGTCTTCCCAATATTATTTAGATTTATTGCCCATTTTAGTAAACAAACAAAAAAAATAACCAAAATTTAACAGCTATTCATCTCGAACTTGCCGGCGTTCGTCAAACGGGTAAAAGACAAGTAAATAATTTGACCTTGAATTAATAAAAAAAAAACTCGTCAAGGCATTCACTTGTACGACCAGTTGTCGCTATGGCTGGCGGATCAACCCACCGGACAAGCCGCCTGCCAGTGAAAGAGCAACTTGCTCAAGCAAATAGCCGGCTGTGGTGATTTCGCACCAGCAGTTCGCGGGCCGGTTTGCAGCGAGCGCTTAATCCAAACTGTGAATAAAATTGCGCTGCCGGCACTTGGTTGCAGTTGCAGCCGCTGCTTGCTGCGAAAAAATCTTGAACCCGATCTTGAGCAAGTGCACTGTCGGCAGTCCGCCGCCGAATTAAATACGTGTACAACGACAAGCGATAGGAATGTTGCTGCATTGAAGACTGGTTTTGCGGTTTTTCGTCTGCTGAGTGTTTTTTCTTAAATCATTTTATTATTGTTTATTTGTAAATTAATTGCAGCATAAAATGTGTGTGTAAAAGTAGTGATTAAAATATGAGTGATTAATTTACAGAAAAAATATAAAACAATTTTTAGCGATAAAAATATATGATCGTATATGAATATCGATATCGATAATCGAAAATACAAAATAAGTAATTTCTCATATATACATATAAAATATATCGTAATATATGTTTAGTTATAATGTGCATGTCTCGAGCACAAAACGAAAGACTTACGAAACAAACTCGCATTCAAAGTAACATTCAAGCGATATTCAATACTCATACACCGGCCGGTGGGAACCGCAAAAACTCATATTGATTATTATTGTTTACACAAAATTTCGCAAATATATTTTTGTGCATTGTTGTTGATATTTTTTCACAGCAACGTACTTTTATTGTCAAACTAAGTATTTGTTTTGTATGTAGTTCTTACTAAAAAAAAATGGCACAGCAAATTTATGCAAATACTCGTATAATGTGCAGGGTGCGACATCGGTTATGCCGGTATGTAAACATTGAAAAATTTAATATATTTTGATATATTTTTTATATGGATATGAAAGTTTGACATGAGCTCATCAATCATTCGTAGATTTCTGGCATATATTTTGTTTTTTAAATAAGCCCACAAAAAGAACTCAGCGATATTAAAACCAGGAGTTCTATGTGATCAGTGAATGTCATCTGTTTTTGATTTCAGACTCACTTTTTTGTTACGCAATAGCGTTTCATAGATAACGCAGAAGATATTGTTTCTCAAATAAGACAACAAAGTGTAAAATAAGCCTATTTGCTTGACGCAGGTATCTGTCAATAATTCGTTTATATTTCAGCGCCTGTTTATATCCCGACATAAAGTATGGCGCACCCTGTATGCAATACAGTCCTACAAGTATTGATTACATTAGAGAGGGGTTCAGCGAGACAAGTAAAGTGTTTTAAGTCGTGAAAGTAGTAGGTGTTATGAAGTAATAAGCAATAATATAGCAGATGTGTTTTCGTTTTTTTTTTCTAGGAGACACTACAAATAAATAAAACAATAAAATAAGTTCTATGAAACAAAAAGAAATGATTCACAATTTTGGAGTGAAAAAAGTAAAACAATATCATACATTAATTAAATCGTTGGAGTACGATATGAGGTAAAAATTAATAGGTTTTATAGAAACTAAAGTAAAAATAAAAATTCATTAATATAATTATTCTAGGCAAAGTGTTGATAAAGCTTCAAATCAAAGATTGGACATTGTTATTTTTGTTACTGATATGATAACATATGCCAAAGCTGAAATAGTTCTGTGAATAAACCTTTCTGTTCCTATTCATAGATACAGAAACTCGCCTTTTTTAGAACGACAAAGGCCTGACCTTACACTTAACATACTGTGGTTTTTTTTTCATTTTATTACGACGTCTTTAAAGCCTACTATTGGTTTAATGGTTTAGTTTTGGTCACTATGAACACCAGCCAAATGCTAGGGATTAAATTGCAGTCACACATAGTTTCTAATCTCTAGCCATATAAATTTTTTTAAAATAAATTTAGAGGTTCTGTCGCATCACCAGTTTATTTGGGCTCTTATACCTACGACATTTTAGTATGTTTACATTTTAATAAAATTCTGACGCTATACATTGATGTATACAATGTACATAATTCGTTATTTAGTTTCAAAGAAAAACCATATAACCTCTCGCAGCGGAAGCCTTCTTTCATTTACTCGAATGTGCTTTTGCATGTTCTTGTACCCGTATCGAAAATCAAAAGCTAACACGACCTTGCCCAATAATGCTGCTAGGTCCAATGACACAAATACACATACACATGCAGCTACATAGGCATATTGGTAGCCAATTGGTCACAGTTATAACTTTATCTTTGTTTAATGATTTTTTGTCCGTCGCAATTTGCTCTGCACACGCACAAATTAATCCCAACAAAGCCCAACCAAAGCAAAGTTGTACTCAATTTTAACGCACATATATTTATTAATAAATATTTTGCTTTAATTCTTCAACTTTAGTAGCGCGTAGTAAGTAAAGAGCAGTAAACAGCGCACCCTCCAAAGAACACAGATCTCAGCGAATGTTGTTGTTTTCTTGCTGGAGTATTTGGCTTGCTGCGTGCATGTCAATAGCTTATGCATATTACTGAAATTTTCAGGGTCACCGCTGTAGCCGTAGCAGCAACAAAGAAGAACGATGGCGGCAGCTAGCAGTTAGAATGCATTTATTTGGAAATATACAAAATAAATTAAACATTTTTTTTGGAAAAAATTTAGAAAAAAAATGCCAACTTTTTGCAATTGTATCTGCTTTGCAATTATAAGTAATGTGTTTAGCGGTAACTTTTTATGTAAGTCCAAATCTTTATGGATAACAAGTAATTATTCAAATTCATTAGAACAAATGCGTTAAGTTAAACTCGTTTCTAATTAATGTAAGTGTGCATAAATTTGGGCTATTGATTCACAATTGTCTTGTAAACTGGAATTGGTTTGTGTTTCATTGAATTTATTTCGATAATAATGAAGCAGACACCATAAATTTATCCAAAACGAGTATTAAACCCACACAGCTTTGTAAAAAAGGCATATACATTTTTTTTTTACTTCAGTGTTATTGGTTTTAAAAACAAGATATTTTTGCGCATATAGACTGATATGCTTGTATTATAGCTGTACGCGAGACCAATTATTTGATCTTGATTCTATCCATACTTAAAATTAAGTAACAAATTATATTTTGAAACTTTGTAATTTGCTGATTTTATCAGGACTTCATGGAAATGGTGTTTCACGCCCCACTCTCTACACAAATTTTTAGTGATTCCCGAGACCATCTAATGCAGTCGTTTTGAACCTAGTTTCTAAGGATCGACGCGCGTCATATCGGTTGTGAAGTCTCTATTTTTGATCACAAAACACTTTATAATCTACATATAGAACAGCGTAGATAATTTTTGAAAGCAAAAAAAAAATCATTGTAGATAAAACATATTGGAAACGAAAAATAAAATAACTCAAATAAAAAAAAACCGCTTTAAATTGTTTAGTGGGATCTGTTTTTGCATTTTCTGACAAAACTTACCACAGTAATGTATATATTTTGTATACCATCAGTAAGTAGTGATTTCCAAAATACTGTGTGTTTGGGTCATAAAAAAATAAGTTTGCAAAAATTTCGTGAAAGAAAATATTTTTTGTACAAGATAAAAATAAAAACCCAAAAAATTACATAATCACATCACATAAATTTTGAGCTTTTGTGAAAAAGCTCTTAATACAAAAGTTGTAGTTTTTTTATTACTTATTTGCCACATAACTATTTTGTATAGGACTCGTGCTTAAAATCGAGATAAACCGTTTTAACCCTTAAAAATTCAACCACGCCACTCCCCTCCCTCTTCCCGACCACAGAACGCCCGTAAATTATGTTTGCTCTCACTTTTGTTATTTTATCTTCCGTTTCCAATTCGTAGCAAGCTACTGTGAATTTCTTTCACTTTTTACCATAATCAATATATAATATAAATAGCGCTAGAATCAGTATAGTGCTTATCAAACTGTCTTAAATGCTAGACAGCTTGGGACAGTTTAAAGTTACTTGATAATATGCACAAAGTATGCAGTTCAGATTTTCATATTGACAAAGTTTAAAGAGAAAATAGAAAATTTATTATTTTTTGAATACGAAAAAGAAAATTGTATAATTATGTGCAGGTGTAAAATAAATATGAACATGATAGTGTAAAAGTATATATGAAATGAAATAATGCGCTGCCATTCGCTGTTTTGCATAAAAAATTGCAAAGAAATTATTGTATTTTCATTTTAGAAATAAATTTTATATACCCGTAGTAGTTCATGACAAGAAAAAATTTTTAAATTAATAGTAAAAATTATTTATAGTGGTTTTTGCTGGCAATTAAATAATATGCATATTTTATGACTAAAGCTTTCTGTAAGACACTAAAATAATTGATTAAGCTATACTATAAAGCAAAGCTCATATCACAAATATTAAGTAATAGCGTCAATAAAAATTAAGGCAACACCTTTTGGCCTAAAAAAATGTGCGCACATTTATTCATCTAAAATCAGTATTATAAAACCCATGTTACCTAATTTAAAAATCATAAAATTATTGACATTAGCTTAAGTTAGTGATGCAATGGTTGCAATTTAACGTTAGATGAAATAAAA